CTTCTTAAATCTGCTTTGTGGCGACAGTTATCAAGGCCTTTTGCCCACCTTGAGGTAAGTTGATCAGGATAGCGCTGGACGAAGCGACTAGCCTAGTGTACTCCAACCTCAGTCTTGGCGATCTGTGAGGCAAAATTGCGTATCATTGGCTGAGTAGGTGGTAAGCCTCTATCTGTTAGTCGATTGATATAGGCGATTAGGGCCTGCTCCTGCTGTGGGTGGAGGAGCTGCCGTTTTTGGCCACCTATCGCGCGTGAGGCGTGTAGGCCTTGGTGTCTTTGGGTAAGCGTAGATCGAACAACACTATATTTTTTTGCAATATCTGTATACGAAAAAGGCTCATCAGGTCCTAGGGTATTAATAGCTGCAAGCGCAGCCTTAATATTAGCCATGGTGGTGGGGATACGACGCGTTGAGGTTGAGGTGGTTGTAAGGCGCGCGCGCACTTTGTGGTCGCGCGCACTTTGTGGTGGGGCTAGTTATATCAAGAGACCGAGATGACCCGACTACTGTTACAGGAGCATTTCTACACAGACTATTAGAGTCTAGTTAGTTTGACGGACGTATATCCCATTTCATGTAGAAGAATAAGCGGAACTATTAGACCCCACGTCCATGACACGTGCTTTATCTCAGTGTGGCTTACTCTAACTAAGTTGAGGATATAGTTGTAAGCCCTAGTATTGTTAGAGATGCCTACTAGCTATAATCGGCTGTACAACCTTCAGATTGCTCCTGGATAGAGTCTCGATTCATCTAAAAAGATCGCCAGGACCCCTTCTAGGCTAGAAAGGCAGTAGCCATGTGTATAGGGATACAGCTTCCATCTGAAGCCTTATAGTGGCCCCGCCCCTTTAAGGTTTCGTCTCGGTTTAAGGTTTACTCATATACTTACTTGTGCCTGCCTGCCAAACACTCCACACTAAGAGAAAGTCTAAGATTAACAGAGTTGTATTCAATGGAGCGCCACTAGCATTTACAACTAAACATTCCTGCAGCCTGTGACAGTGCTAAGAACTAGTGTAGTTTTAGCTATTCTGCTGTTATTCTGGTCGTTCTAGCTGTTCTGGCTGTTCTGGCTGTTCTGACCGGTACTACGCTGCTTTAGCTGTACTTGCCGTCTGACGTTGGCCGTATAACAAGTCTTAGCACGACTAACTTTAAACAGATATGCTTGACATCTTAGTAGAGCATTTAAAGCTGATTAGCGTGAAGTTTATTAAGTCTATCTTGTGAAACAAACTTGTATGCGAACTACGTCAGTAAACTATAGCACGTGACAAATTCTCATGTGCAGCTTAAGCTGCAATAAGCTTATATCTTGGCACAGATTGGTGAATTTGAGGAATAGTGCCGGATTCACGGGATCTGCTAAGTTCAGAACTGATCAGGGTCATCTTGGCTTAAGGCGTTCCAACTAGGGGTGGACCGCCAGAGCGTATGTACTGGTGATGCTTAGGGTTCGTGCGGCTAACCAGGTGTTGTATCACAGATATCGGATGTTACGGTAGCATCCGGAATCTGCAGAAGCGGCCAGACCTTTCATTATGAGAATTGGGAGGTTACTATGACACTAGGTACATACGCGATTCTCTCACTTCCAGAGTATTGCTAAGACTAAGTATCCATGTCTGTTGGATAGAAATATTATTGCTCCGGCTAAAGTAATACCGAGACCCTCATGCATGGCTTCCGGTTTACTTCTATGCCCCTATTCCACTTGCTACTCAACTGGTGTATAAATCTTAGACTGTTTCTAAGCTTTTAGATCCATCCTTTCTAAATTGCGGTTCTTTTAGGTTCTGGGCTAAAAATCTCCATGACATGGCGATCTTGAGTGCTAGATTGCTGCCAAAATGGACTCTGGTTCGACAGGATGATAATGAACAAGATTCAGAAATGATGGTATATATGACATCCTATTAGCCAATGCATATCACGTCTAACAGGAGTTAGTCAGATAACAACTCTTTCCCTAGCACTAGGAGAAGATGTTACAACTGCATTTCCATCTCACTTTTAATTGTAAATATCATCTTCCTGATCATGTGGATCTGTTTATTCAGCCAAACTTGGCTCGCATCTCAATCGCGTCCGAACACTTTACTAAGACACTTGAACACTTTCTGTAAGCCATAGCTAAGCTTTAGTAGAAAGGGGATTCAAATTTACTAATACTGTATAAAGCATCAATTCCTGATGAGATTGACTTCTCGTTCTCGGAGATCATGATGAATGGTAGTTTAAACAACGATCCTAGGTCTATATACCGAGCCGATCCATCACCAGATGTTGATCGAGCGTGGGATGAGATAGCTCTGGTTAAATATTTTCCGATCACGGAAGAATCATTACGCCGTCTTGGCAAGGATCCAAAGCATGCCGTGCGTGTGCCCACTAGTTGGGGTTTGTCTGCATGGGTTGAAGAAACAAGATAATTCCTACTAACTTTATACTAGGGTACCAGGAAGGTCTTTTTGTAGCCCAAAATGATGGGCAGCATCTACTTCACTGCCTCAACGTACTCCGAAAGTTTAGTTTCTGGGACTATTACTATCCTTCAAGCTGGCAACCGGATAACGGTACGTGGCGTTTACCGCTACTAGATGTTGCACATCGGGGTCATTGTTTAAGCATGTTGCTCCAGCACTTGACTTGTCAACCTAGTCTAAACACTATAACGCATGTCTGGACAGACGCGTATAAAGATCTGTTCCCAGACTTCAGCATAGAGCGCAAGTGTCTTGATCATAACCAAATTCTAAAATGGCAAGCGAGTGTAGCTATCCCTGATGGTCCATTCCCTTATCCAAAGGGCGATAACGCAAGGATAATTCCTGCATCGCCGGAGTTGAAATTGATACTCTCACCTGAAGGTCGACAATAATCATGTTAAGCAAGTGGATGAATTTTAGCTGTAGATTTAAGATAGATTGCATACAAAATATCCAAGGCTAATAATACTTATCCTGAAGATAAGATTTGTCCCAAACTTTAGTGCCAATAGAAACTTTCTCACTCAGCGTGTAATTCTTGAATCAGACGTAGCTGCAACGTTGGTGTGGGTTACTAAGATTCTACCCTACTTCTACCTAAGTCTTAGTAACTCTACCCCTACCTGACCTCTACCTATTTACCAGCGTGTAGGCGTCTAACCATCTCTTGTAGCTCTTTTGAGACGTTAGAGAGTGAGTTGATCTAATCTCCTAGAATAGTAGAGGTTTTCTTATTTACTCGACTGCTCTTAGTAAAGTCTCTAAAGATTTCTACTAAATCTAGTAGACCAGTCTGCTAGGTTATGTTGTTTTCAGCTAGGCTAGCTGCTTGGATTGATAGATTTCTAGCAATAATACTAGCTTCTTCTACTAAGATAGCTTTTAGTGTTCTATTTTAGTTACTAAAGGGATTTCTAAGTATTAAGCTAATAAATAGTGAGAAGTTACCTCGAGAACGTGTCTCTATATATGCCTTCTGTAGTGAGGAGTTTACTTGTCTCTTATTTGCTAGTAGTATTGGCAGTTCGAATACACTGAACGTTTCTAGATGCTGGATAGGGGCAGCTAACAGGATGGTTTCAATTTCTATCTTGTTCTGTATTTAAGATTCTAACCTAAGCGTTTCCTGTCTAAATCCTAGCGGGTGGACGTTGATATTATCGCAGTTAGGTGGTATTCTACTTAGTAATCCGTGTGATCTGTGTGTTATGTGTCAGTAGTGAGACGTGTCTATAGCCGTCTGCTTTGAATGTCTCTAGCTGCATGGCGCGTGGGGTGCATATTTTAAAAGTGGTTGCAATTAATCTACTCTATTATGTAGTTGGACTAGAATAATCGCACAGACTACAACCTATGACTATCTCGCCCTAGCCTAGACTGAGACTGAAGAATTATAACTTAACCCGTGTAATATTAGGCCTGAGTATCATGTTTGGTAACTATTTAAAACAGCCATCGGACCACCCAAACTTCCTACCCCAACAGCAGCTATCAGCTTCAGAATTACCAGACTGGGCATCCCGACAGCCCTGGTAGAACTCTGGACCATATATTAATACCCCGTCTTCCCCAGTACACTATGTCTCAGTTAAATAGACGCTAAGTGTAGTACTTTAGATGTTATTACCCAGCCGCCATTATCTGAAGGATGTTAGATAATTTAATATATAACTAGTTAGAAGATTAAACGCACTAATAGCCCTATATTTACTACCAATATCTACGCATACGACAGCTGTAGCACACCAATCTGGTGTTGAAGTTTCAGGATATTTCATGCATTTGCAAAAGTCGTAAGTACGGCCACCAGCTAGCACTTGCTTGGCGATACTATGGAAGTTTTAATTCTATTCCCCTAGGTTTTAAGAAGAAACTCATACAAGAGTACAACATAGATAGTAACCTTCATACTGCTTGAAAAATAGTGTTGATAATGGAAGTGTTTCAGAAAACAATGGTAATTCTCAAGTGTTAGTAGAGCTTGAATATATAGAGATAAGGCGGACAAAGTAGAATGTATCTATTAGAGTTAGATTTCGCTTAGGTGAAGATTAGTCTGAGTATAGGTTGGACTCCGGTGATGGTGATATTACGCTGAATAATACTAGTCAGCATGCTGGCGCCAATTAACTATCAACGCTGACCTCTATTCAGGAATGCAGGGTAAGAATCTACGTCATGCGCTAAGAATCTACTTGGTTGCGTTAGTTCTGGTTCTCTTATCTAATAAACACAGCCCTTAGGTCTGAGAAGAGGCTTCGTAGGTAGAGCTTAGTTACTAGATATCAGCTTACATCCATGCGTACGTTTCCTTCTATTAGAAATCTTGTAGTGAATAAGCTCATTATTAAGATTATTTTAATAAGCTTACTTGGTAACTCAACATTCAAGGTTTCACTTACTTGAGAGATAAGAAGAGTTTAGTTTGAATTCGGAATAATATCAATATAGTCAATATAGTTAGAACTCTACTAATGAAAATTAAAGTCTTCGCATGTATAAAAGGTCAGAATCATACTCTCATCTGTTTCACGTGCAAAAACTAGGAGTTTGATATATTATCATCAACATCAAACCAGCTTACTAGCAAAGCCAAAAAAAACAATGAAACTCATCAATCTCATTCTTCTTGCGAGCGTCGTGTCCGCCAATGGAGTCAAGTACGTGTATCTGATCTATTCGAAACTTAGCTGCTAACATTAATACTAGAATTACAGATGATCTTCCTGTTCTCCCTTTCGATGAGCTACTTCGCCTCGCGTACGTTCACTATCTTATTAACGGTACCGTCTAATGTATACAGATATCAAAACGCCTCCGAAGAAATCAAACAGTCGCATTTCACTGAGAACCACCGTCGAGCGTAAAGTGTATCTCTGTCATGTTAAGATTACATCTAATGTGTACAGTTTTGACGAATCCAACGATATCACTAAGCGACACTCGGTTGATTTGTTTCGCCGCGCGTATGTATTTTTCAGACTATCGAAATTCCAGGCTAACTCTGTAGCAGTGACCCTATACCTGTAGTTTTCAATTGTCTTGCTGCCACAGGCACTACTTTTGTGGTTGCTGGTATCACAGTAACTATTATAAAGGTTAGGAGTCTCCTTAAGTTAACGTGTACTCAAGGTAGCAAATTCAGCGTTCTTTGTAGGTTTGGAGCAACTGGAACCATTCCAGCTTTTTTCCAACACCCCCGCTGGTACATATTTATCTGAAATCTATCCACCTCCTGCTTCCACTGGCTTCGACATCACGGGAATACAGCCAGAGTAAGGCTAGCGCTTAGGCTCTAGTGAGGACTCGACGTAGTTAGATCAAGGGTTAGGAAGAAATTCTATTATCGATTTTTTATTTCTGTTGACTACATTTGGGCCCAACAGCTGTAGCACAATTTCAATGAGAATGCTCGTGTTCCGCACATGGCTATCGCAACGATAATAATTATCTTAACGTGACTAATAGGCGAGTCCGTCAGCCTACTAAGTTTCCCTACCCACTGCACCTTTTATGTAACTAGAGAGGATATATCATCTATCCCTGTGTGGCGGAACATAGTGCATGATATGACACTACAGACACTTCCTAATATAACAAACTGAATAATAGGTTAGAATAATAGGTCTTCCTAGAATAGTAGCCCCAACATATAAAGTTTATCCTCTCCTTATATGTTTTAGAAACAGGGTTTACTCACTATTACCATTCCTAATAGGTAGAGATTAGGTTACTGTTAGGCTACTAGATATTAGCCAACACGGAGCTCAGTAGTAGTAGGAAGGTAGCAGCAGTAGGTATTAGTATATTCCAAGACGAATCCTTAGCCCCCCATTGTTAGTAGGCTTGGGGATTATGTATCCAAGGCTCATTAAGAGTGTACTGCTAAGCTACCTCTAGGTACAGGAACGCGGTTCCTGACAGCTACTATGAAATGAGTTAGGGTTAGGTAGAGGTTAAGATATGTAATACCCCTACCTAACTCTAACCTATTTCGTAGTAACTTACACTCTTATTTGTGAACCTGGTAGGTCATCAGAGCCTCTTGAACTTTGTTACTTCGTTTATTTTAGACGAGATACGTATATCTAGTTGGCGAAAAAAAATAGACAATCACAAAAGAGATCACAGGGTAGACACTTATTTACCAGCGGGGTTGTATGTCAATTGCATTATTATAGTCTAATAACTATTATAGTGCACTGTTCCACTCCTTCTCTCTCTCTCTCTCCCGCCCTCCTTCTTCTTTGCCTTCTCACAACACACAGTGGATGGTCCCTTTCGTTTGTCCAGGCCATATCACACACTGCCAGTGATTTTTATGTGGTATCCAGCCTGGGTAGGGATTGCACTACATTTTGACATGGTTGTTAGCATCTTCCTCTCTTCCCGCACTAGCCACTGCATGGATGAATTGGAATACTCACATCGTTCTTACACATGTCCCTGATAGGGTCCTCGGCGGCTGGGGTATAAGGGATGTCATCTGAGCAGCCAGTGCCATTCTGTAGGAATCGTGTTGTTAGTTAGGCCTCCAAGGCATCCTCATATGTGGAACGCTATCTCTGTCCTGGGTGGGAATGATAATTTTTTTCTAGAGATAGATCTTTTGTCGTTCGCCATGGCAGGGGGGTAGGTAGAGCTTACATCTGGAGGTGTGTAGCAATTGGCTTTCGTATTCAATTCGAGTTTCGCTGGTGCTGATGCTGGTGCTGACGGATGCGCTGACGCGAACAGCATATTCATTGGTTGGAATATGCTGACAAGGGCGAGAGAAGTAAGGAAGGTGGGTTTCATTTTTGCTTTTACACGTTTATTTTTCCAAGAACGATGGTGAGGTGTTTGTTTGGAAAAGAGAGTACCGTGGGTGTATGGGCGATGTGAGCGAGTAATGGAGTCGAGAACGCCTACTTATTATAGCGAGCGCTGGTTAAATTATTTCAACTCCGGACGCAGATTGTGATAAAACATATTAGCCTAGGTGAAGCACGAACCCAAATGGGGTTGTGTGTAAGGAGATTTTCAAGTTATGATCATTTTCGGCGCCTCTGGGTTAAGCTGACGTAAGGTTTAATCTCCCAACAAGCCTCTAGGACGGTATTGTAGGCCCGTCATATTTATACGAAGCATCGTGCGGTTAGTATAAAGGAAGATCTAGTTAAGTGGCTTCTGTATTATCCCACGCGAGCTTATGGCAATCAAACAGAATTAAGGGGCAAAAGCTGCCGCGTTAGCACGTCGAAATCACCCATATTAAAACAATAACCAGACCGTGTTAACATACATCTAAATTCATCTGGAAAGGCAAACTACTATTTGTTCCCATGCCTGTAAGCGGGACAGCGGTCTGATGGATGGGTGTGTGCGTTTCGCCGCCGAGCACGAGCTGTTCCTTTTTTTTTTTTTTTTTTTTTTTTTTGTTCTGCTTTGCGAAGGGCCGGATAAGCGTGGGAAACGTGGAGGATGACCACCACCACCACCACCACCATCCACCACAGTGTGGGGCCTACTTAGCTCTTTGTTGCGCTTACCGATGGGTAGAGGTTCGGTAGGATTTGTGTCACGTGATAACCATACCCATTTCTGGGCAACCCAAACCGCCTACCCATCCTCTCCCCATCGGGAAGCGTAACTATAGCTAGAATTTTATTTAAACCCGCCTTCTACAGAAGCAGTGTAAGGTCGATTCCCTCATCAACGAATTTGTATATCGCAGCTGGATGAGATTGCAATTTGTCAAGTTACATTCGCGTTCAGGCCTCCACCACCTTGTCATTCCCGCAAGAAATACCACGAGAGCGTCATTTTCATAGTAATTTGCGTGCGCGAGTGCTCGCCAGCCATTGGCTCTTCATTTTTCCGTAATGTGTTAGTCTGCATCTGCGTTAGTCATGCCATTAGAAACCATTGTAAGAAGTGGATTGTCTAGCTGGTTTTATGTTATGAACATGGTTATATATGTATACTAAAGGCCCTTACATTTAGCAGGTGTTATATTGTATTACCGCCTATTTACGGAGGTGCCTTTCAAAGTTCTGTCTGCCAAGAATAATTCAGCCGAAGTACGGCCGCCTTAGTCGAGGCTTGTCTCTTCCCTCTATATACTCATTACCACCTTGTAGCTTAATTATCTTTTAGATATAAATAAGAATCCACTTAATCTAAGCTTAGATCTTAAGTTAAGAAAGGTCTCTCTAGCAATTCTGCTAGACTCTAACTGCCTTAGCCCTTAACTGTGGAGCTCCTTTCTTCGTAGTCTCTCTCTTTATATAGAACTAGCACGGCTTAATATAGTTATAGTCTAGCGAGTTGCCACACTAGAGTAGTCTCTTGACGTCGTGCAGACTATAGATCACACTCTAATAGTGGTGGGCGTGGGCAGGTGCCTTATCTTCCATCACGACAGTCTGAGGTCTATCTTGGAGGCACTCTTTGGCGAAAGGAATTAGCTTTGGTATTAGAATACAGTTCTAATATCTCTACTAGTCTATACCACCTCTAGGCTTACGCACTAGCTTGCCTGTATTCTCTGTCCATCTCCATTGAGGTTTTCTGCTAGGCTTGTTGCGCAGCCCTGTCCTCCTTATAGACTCTGACAGCTCCCACTCCTCTCTTTATAGAGGTTTAAGCTTAGCGTTTAGCTGCTTAATCTTCTAAGTAGCATCCTCTTTCTCTACCTTCGTCTCTAGCTAGTAGATATAGTATAGACCTTTCTTGTTATACGAGAAGCAGCCCTAGAACATGAACTTAGAGTATCCTTTCCACCTCTCACGGATACAGCTCTTAACTACTCTCTTGTCTGCTTTTCTCTAGATCCTATAGCCCCCACGTCAGTGGTTAATCACCACAGACGTCTCGTCTGTCTAGATAACATTCTTCTAGTCCTCTAACGTCTAGTCCTTGTAGTCGATCGCCCATCTAAGACGAGCACTCCTTATCTCCTGTGTTAACCTAGGCTTCCTTGTTAGCTTAGTCTTCTTGTATCCTGCTTCTCTTAATACCCTCTAGACAGTAGAGGCAGAGATTTCGACTCCTTAGAGACTAAGCGCACTAGCAAGGTCAGCGCAGCTCTTCTCTCGTCCATATCTATCGCGTCGTACTTGTTAAAATATCTGCTCCTTCACCTCCTCTATCTGCTTAGCAGGCCTGCTAGAGCGAGGGGCATCTTAAACGTGCTGTAGAAGGATCTTAAGAGGGAGAACGTTTGGCTTAAAGCTAGCAGCAATAGCTCTACTATAGATACAATTAACTATATAAGGATTAACACTAGTTAGCTCTAAGATCTATAACGTTAACTTGCTAATAGGAGGTAACTTCAACGTTACAATTAAAATATAGGTGTAAGAATTAGTATTAGGAGCTATAACGTGGTTCATAAGCGAGCGGACACCCCAAGCGAGCGGACACCTCCCCACCAGCGCGTCAACTTCAACACGTTATCACAGCCTTTTATCACAGTCAATAAACTATTGCAATATACTAAATTAATTATCAGAATCGCTATTATCACTTGCACTATCTATCTCAACTGCGCAGGTACGAGCGTTGTGTCCAGTCTGCTTGCAACGCCCGCACCGCCGCTCTCCTCGCACCCTCTTCGACGCACTCTCACCATCACCACGACTGCTACCCGCCTGTTCAGCTAATACTTCTTGTACTTCGCCTACAGTAAGAGTCTCTTCTGTCCGTACGTATCGCCGCTTGCGGCTTTTACGCTTATTTGACTTGTTAAGAGCCGCTCGAAGCGTACCCATTTCCTCCATCATAAGCGTCATTTTATGTGCCATTTGCTGGGCCCCCTTACTCAGCTGCGCGATCTGCTCAGTGAGTGAATTGGCAGAAGATCCACGGCGTTTTCTCACGCTCTCTTGAATGAGACTAATTTGAGACTTAACTTCGCGCGCGTTGCGTGGTGTCTGCGCCTGCCAGGCAGCTACCCGTTGTGGTGATTGACGAGGTGTCTGCACCACTACATCAAGCTTAGATAGCACAGCCTGTGGGTCGTGTGGGACTAGACCAGCACCTCTGAAGCCAGCTTGGATATTCTCCTTCGTGATAGACTGCTCAAAAGCAGCCTTAAAGGCTGGTAGGAAGGTTTCCTTGCTAATATAGTGGGTGCGGTTGCGTGCCAAGCCTGAAACAGCGTCGCCATACTTGCGCTTCAACGGCGAGAAGCAGGCGACGTCAAGGGGCTGCAACAGGTGAGACGAGTGTGGAGGCATGCAGAGAAGAATAATATTCTTCTCCTTGCAAAGATCTTGAAATTCGATGGAGCAGTGGCTCTCATGGCCGTCAATAATAAGCAGTCGATACCCACCCACAGTAGGGCTCTTTGTATGGGTATTAAAGTGCTCTAACTAGGCAAGACTAAGCTAATTATTCGTCTAGCCATTGGGACTAACTTTAAGAACCTAGTTGGCAGGCAAATTCTTAAACTAGACGTTGATAAGCACCTTGCCCGCAAAGACAACGAACAGTGGTATCTGGCGACCTGACGCGCCCACGCCTTGGATCACAGTAACCCACTCACGGTTGCCTGGCTGTATCCGCTTCTTTTCCCCATATCCTTCTAATGCTGTGATTAATAACTGTGATAAAATCTTGCCCATCATAAAGCTAGTTTTGTCAAAGTTGTAGATATCGTCGTCCACAATACCCCACTTCTGCCTTGTCGCCTGGACTAAGTCAAACTAGCGCTAGATAGCCACTAGGTCCTCGCAGGCGGCTCGCTGGTGATCATAGGGACGGCTCTAGCGCGTACAGAGCTCAGCAGTCCGCCTAACAAAGTTGTCAACCTAGTTCTTGCCAACAGGGTTGCCACCACGCTCCTCTAACAGTTTATCAGCTATTGCTCGAACCTCAGCCTTTGTAGGCGCAAATCCTCGCGTAGACTCTTTAAGAATACGCCTAACAATAGCCTTCTCTTCTAGCTTATTTAAGCGCTTTGAATTTAGTTCGCAGTCGCGTTAAGAGTGTCTTCCAGCGCGTTAGTAAAATAAAGTTATTCAAGGGACGCTATAGATCTCAGCAGTACGTTTAACACTCTTTACACGTTGGGAATTAATATTAGAAATAGCAAGTTGGATATCAGCTTTAGAAAAAGTTTGTTAAATCTAATATGGTTGAGACATAACGCGTTGTAGTATGAACGTCGACGCGCTGGTGAGGAGGTGTCCGCTCGCTTGGGGTGTCCGCTCGCTTATGAACCACGTTAGTACTAAGTAGATAGATAACTACAACTAATTAATAGCTTAGCTTAAAGGTAGGAGTTGCGCCAAGAAGAATTGCGCCGAAGGGCCAAGATTAGCGTCAGACAGAACTTTTGAAAGGCACCTCCGTACTGTGTATAAGATTCAAGGTATAGTACCTCACCGCTACTCTATATTGTGTACTCTACTGCCTTGTGTAAGCCGCTGCGTCAGCATGTCAGAACCACTCAAAAGGGGTGAGGGTAAAACGGCACGGTGGCTGACTCACAGTGCTCCCGTGCTTATGCCGTCGTTGTCGTGGTCGCCCTGCCACCCCTCCCCTGGTCTTTTGCGACTCCCGAGTGCCCATGAGGGGGGAGGGATATGTAATGGCCACGCGATATGAGAAGGTTGGTTGTCTCGGCTGTTATAATACAAGGGGTGCTGGAAACTCGTTGCTCTAGCCGAGCAGCCAGTCAGCCAAGCAGGTGAACCGGTAAGTAAGCAAAAGTCAAGTTATTCTCGGCACCCGTCCTGTGTCTGCGTACGTACGTATGTACATTTGGGGAAGGAAGCCGAAGTGAGTTGTGGGCTTCGCCGCAAATCCGCGCCGCATTTACATATCATATGATGTTCGTTTTTTGTTTTTGTTTGTTTGTTTTTTGCACAAGCACGGAATAACAACAAGAAAAAAAAATGAAAAGGGTTCAAGGGATATGCATTCGATCGGCCATGTTGGGTCCTACCGGTTTGAACACGGAGACGGAGACGGAGACGGAGACGGCGAGGTTTTTACGTGTGAGTGTGTGTGTATGTGTTCCTGATGTGCGTGCACGGCTGCGATACTCAGGGAAATATCCTGGTTTGGTATGTTAGCATAGATAGCACGGCCGTCGGTCACACGGCCGTCGGTCACATGGACATACAGACACACACACACACACACACCGAAAGAAAGGGAACAGAAAAAAAAAGGGTTGCATTGCTTATCTTGGCTTGTTTAGGGATGCGGAGCCTTGACTCGGTTTGATTCGGTACACGCACACGTTGTGAGTGTGTGATGCGTACCGAGATGCTGGGTCGGCTGGCTGGATGGGGTGGATGGAGGGATCGATGGATCGATTGGAGGAATTGGATGGATAAGGATTTGGCGCGCGCGTCGTCCAAGGAGTCGCAACGCAAGTGTGCGAGGGCATTTTGCTTACGCCTTACTCGCACGCGAAAGGCAACGTAACGGCAACGTAACGGCGAGACCAATCCCTACGGACATTCTCAAAAAAAAACCCCCCAAGGCATTGATAGCAGTAGCCAAAGGTATCTTCGTCTTGAACATCAAGTCCAAAGGAACCGATTTGGTATCGTCATACTCATCATGTATTCTTCTCTCTGGTACATACATAAAATCCCCTTGGTCACAAATACTCGGAATCGACCAGAGCCAAACAAGAAAGAAGAAAAGAAAAGAAAACGTGATCTCAGCGCACTTAGATCCTCGGATAACACGTTGGACACAAATCTCTCGGGTAAGAGAAAGAAGAAAAAAAATTAATAATAAGACAAACGTGGTCGACCATGGTGTCATGCTCGGAATTCGGAAGGGGTGATAATAATGGTAGGGGGAAGGGTGAATCTCACATCATCATCACCTCATGATTATCATTGAAGGAGAATTTTTTCTTCTTCTTCTTGTAATAATACTGGCATATGTACGTAGGGTAGGGTAGGGTAAAAAGTTATCATAGCTTACCGCCATCCTCGTTATCACCACCGTCGGCATCGCCCTTGATGACATCCCTAAGCAACGCGAGTGCCGCGCCCGCAAAAGCCACCATGTTTGATTCACGGTCAGCCGAGCCCGTGTCGACCTCTCTGGTGACGGTCGGGCCTAGCTCGCGTGCGACGGCCAGGGCCACATAACCCGGGGTACGGTTTCTCGTTGTGCCGCCCGTGGGCCCGGCAGTCCCGCTTTCGCTAACAGTGTAGGTGGTGCGCAGCGTGCTACGCGTGTGCTCGGCAAGCCCGGATACCACGGCTGGCGTGGGTCCCGCGTATGTCTTGACCGTGTCTTGCGTCCACCCGCCAAAGGCGAGCCGCGATTCCAGCGTGTACAGAGTCACGCCCCCGTTGTAGTAGGAAGATGCGCCGGGGAAGGAGAGAAGAGTCGCGGAGATGAGGCCGCCGGCTACCTGGGAAGATACAATGGTCAGCTTGTATGCTTTGCTATGCCCGGCATGCACAGATGACAAGGTGTATTCACTGTTTCGGCTACGGAAATGGTTTCCTTGCGCTCTCTGAGAAGCGTGGCTACTTCCTGGCCTACCTGCCGGAGCTCTTCGGGTGGAAAGCTTGATGGCGACATGGCGTGCAATTGGGACTGGATATTGATGAGCAGCTCTCAACTTTCAAAGACGCGGAGGCTCCTGGATAACTCTTTTATTGCGGTACTATTACAAATTTATTACTTGAAGACGGACTTATGGCGGACCTAAGGACTGGGCGGGGTACGTAGCTGTGTCGCGACGTGATGCGGGGTAGCTCCTGTGCCTGTGTTTTCGGTGAACAAATTATCACACATGGCACGACCGTGGCGTGCATGTCTTAATCATAAATAAACCTTTCTTCACCCCTCTTCATCAACCTGATTGGGATGGACGCTTCTCGCAGCTGCAGCGTAATAATGGTATCAACCTTATTCCGAAGCGCGTCTCTGGCCCTATCTGTGGCTTTCTTGTATAAATCTCTCCTCTCTTGACCTCCCTTTGGCATCTTCTCCACCTCTTGGTCGCTGGCAAAGTCGTCAACGGCAAGCTCAACACTGTATTGCGTGAAGATGGCGGAAAACACGGCAAGAATCTCAGCTTGCGCGAAGCGTCGGCCAATGCAGGACCGGAAGCCGTCGCTGAATGGGATATAGGATCCTTTGACAGGCTTGAAGAGCACCGAGGAGGTATCCTCGCCAGAGGGCCCGCGTAGTGCCTCGTCATCGTAGTCAATGTCGACAAAAGAATCTGCTAGTTTAGTCTCTACAAACCAGCGCTCAGGCCTGAACTGCTCCCCATCCAGACCATCTTCATCGACCTCATTGTCTGGTCGAGGCCAGTACTTTGGGTTACGGTGGACAGCCGCACTGAGCAACACGTGTGCGTCACCGGGAAGACTGTACTCCTTGCCACCCATTTGGATCTGCTGAGGTGGCCCAGGTGCAACTGATTTGGGAATGTTGACAATAGGTTGGAAGAGGCGGAGAGTCTCGTTCATGACTGCAGCTGCCATGCTCGAGAAAAGCTGTGGGAAATGTTCTTCGTAGCTCCATTCACTCATTGGCTTGCCATCGAATATACGATCCAGATCTTCTTGCAGGCGCTTTTGCGATCCTGGGTTCATTGCGAGAAAGAGCAACGAAAAATGCAGCGTGTTGGCTGTTGTTTCGTGGCCAGCCAGCATAATCACAAAGGCATTGCCTAGGATGTCGCTCTTCTTGACGTTCGTGTCCTTGTCTGTGATGCCGCTGCCCCGGATCAGGGCGTCAAAAAAGTCCATGCCTCCTTTGTTGTCGCCAGCAATGACCTGCGTCTTTTTCATTTCATACATTTCATCCATGTATTTACCCCATTCAACAACTGCACGGGAAACCACGCGATGGATTTTGAAGGGCGAATTTGCTATCAAAAAGTCAGTATAGTAAGTTGAAGCAGAAACAGCACAAGGCTATTACCAAGCCACTTAAGAGGCATGATTTGAGTCCACGTGATGTTATGGAGCAAATCGCTGAGCGCTTCTCGATAACTCATGACATGGCCTGGAGGCGGCTTGGAGCCAACAAACAGAGAATCGTCTCCGCCCTGCTGACCAGCGGCCGTCTTGTCTTCTTCGTGCGGCCACATAACGCGTACGTCGAAGCCTGCGCTACTGATGACATACAAGGCAAAGTTCATTGCAGCTGCCGAAGGTTCGGAGACGGTCTGGTTGCCTCTCCCATCAGGTCCAGCCCATAGACCAAGCAGTGATTTTGCGTGATGGATGGTTTCTCGGAAAACCAGATCATTGTTCCTGTCGCCAAAACTCGGAGCGACAAGTTTGCGATGGGCGCGCCAGGCGGGACCCTCGGTGGCCACGAGATTCTTGCCATATATATTGAGAGATCCGTACATATCGAGCGGCTTGGGAAAGTCATTGCGACGGGTCGTGATTTGAGTGATGACTTCTGCATCGGCGACAAAGACAGTCAGTTTATTGGGGGAGGCGACAATAAAGGCGTCCATGCCAATCTGCTCGAAAGGCCTGTATCCCAGCATGTGACCCCATTCTGGATGGAGGATGCTGTAGCATGATGGTTAAAAATGTAACGACTTGTGCCATTTCCGGTACGTACTCTAGCCAAATGCCCTGCAGAGATGCGGGGAGACATTTCCGGAGCATCGGCATCCACAACTTGTACGTGCCCAACCAAAACATTGCAAGCATACTCCAAGGCGATGCTATCACAGGCAGTCCTGAAGTCTTTGCCAGGGCGACATTGCGCTGGAGGCTGCGATATCTCCAGACAACTTGATAGATGGCGAAGCTTGCTATTGCGCTGATAATGAGGGTGCCGATCATTGTGTTCGCCTTGTTTGCGCCCTCGAGCTCGCAGTGATGGGGAAAAACTGGGTGGTGGTGTTGGCTATGCTATGTACACGGAGGCTGTCTGGATGAGAATGTTGGAAGGTGGCTTGCTGCGCATCCGCTCGTTGAGACGGAGCTGTGACGTATACATAAGCGCCAATCGCTTTGCCTCAGTGGCGTTTCAGCGCTGCGGCTACAGAGAGTTGGTACATGCAGCCTGCGTAGATGCTTTTTTTTTTGGGACAAGACCCAACGAGGCAATTGAAGAACATGTTTGGATGCGCTATGCAAACGCAAACATCTGGCATATGGTGTTGCAGGGCAAAAAAAAAAAAAGGACTGCCCAGGGATTGGTCTTGGCAAGGGCCTGCGACTAGCCGTGATGTCTATGCAGCCATACTGACGACAGCAAACAGCTGTATGGTGGCACCCTGAGGGCTTAGCCCCTCGCGTAGAATGAAGGGAGCGGCTGTCTGATACAGTCGTGTCACTAGGTGTTGGTCAACGGGTGGGAAGCTACCTCGCTTGGGTGCAGAATTTGCATCTCGTACGACACCCCTGGCACAAGGAGCCTCCGTGGAGGCGCGATGGCAGCGCAAGGACTTTGGGGCGGCGCGCGGTGAACAGGAACAGGACAAAGGGCTGGGTGGACGGTTTAGATATCGTCAGTTTCGACGTCACAAACGAGGGGGCTTTCGTCATTTTTGGTGGTCTCGGCACGCGCACTCGGATCTCCCAACGACAGAGCGGCTGAAATACGACTCACGGGTGGCTAGGTCGCGCCGCTTTGCCGCGACTTCTTCAGCTTGGGCGTGGGCTGGTTCCAGGTCAAGGTGGTCGCGGTGGCAAGCAGGCGAATCATGACGGGATGCATGGCTTGCCGTGGGAGGCGCAAAAGTTTCTGGAAGGAGTCTTGGGGCCGGTCGATGGTGAGGCTTGCTAGGCCGGGCAGCGCAAAACGACTACCACACCGACTCGACGGCAATTTGTCAAGAGGGCATTGACTCGTCAAAACGTCGTCTAGGTAGACCCCAAGACACTTACTCGACGCGCTCCTGCCATCCACGTAGAGGAGCTGAGACTAGACAGGATGCTGAGGCCAGGGTGTTCCCACCAGAGTTGCAGACACGGACAGGCCTTGGTCAGCACGTCGACAACCTCGGCTGTGGGGAGGGCATTCGTCTATCGGACAAGGGCTTTTGGCAGCAACTATTGTCGAGGTTGAAGCAGACCGCAACTTGGCATAGCGTCGGTAAGAACAGGACCGGGCAGAGTCGGCTGGTCATCTGACAAACGGGCTCAATGGCTATGGCTGGTCGGGGCTTAGGGTGCCTAGGGCGACTGCTGTTTGGGATTAATGCCTGGAGGGCAGCTGACCACTGCGAGATGCGGTCAAGGCGTGTGTTTTGTTGCGAGTGTGTACTTGGTTGTAGTACATGGCATATAGACTTTGGGGGGCAGGGACTTGCCGGCATGCAAGGGCTAGCTGCCACGAGCATGAGCACAAGCACGAGCAGCAGCAGGCCAGCGCGGAGCGGCACCAACGTCGCCATGCCATGGCCTGGCATGCCATGGAGGGCCAAGTTTTGGACGATGGCGTGGCGATCCTGGCGTGGGTTCTCCATGTCGGCTGGACAGTGTTCCTGACGCCATTCTGGCGGTCGCGTGTTGGGGCGCGCTAAGAGGCAGGATTTGCCCGAGCGTGTTTTGCTAATGCTGCTGCTAAGGCCGAGAGCCGCGTTTTCCTGCCGCACCGTACAAGGCGGACAAATGGGTAGTGCAGGGCAGCGTCGACACTATTTTGGCCATGTGCCACCAGGCCGCCTATAACGAGTACAGAAGGAGTTTCGCTGGGATTGGCAACCCGACGGCGCAGATCTTTGGGCAGCAGCAGCAGTAGCAGCAGCATTAGTCCATGGCATTGGCGACGAGGCAGCCACAGGCGGCAATGCAATGGCAGAGAAGGGGGGGGGTAGGCGGAGCGTGAGCGGAGGGTGGGCGTCGCGGGGCTGTGTGGTCACGGGCGGAAACAGAGACAAAGGGGCCTTGGGGCGGGCAAAGGGAAGATGCGGCGGCGACGTGTTTGCGTCGACGCCACATGCAGCGCATCACTTCCACGAGTCTTCTCGAATGCCCAGGAGCGGCAGTCGAGTGGAGGCTGGCCGACTAGGCGTGGCGGGCTAGTGTCGTCGATGAGCTCGGATCAGCTTCCTCAAATTCTGCGGCCAGCAATTGGGCGGAAATTGTCCGACTCAAGGAGCTCATGGCAGGCCTGCTCGCCGCTGCACAGGTGCCAGGGTCGTTGGAGGGGGATGTGTTGCTTGCTGGGCGAGGGCGGAGAAGCGCGCAAGCCGCCCCTCGTGTGTGTGGACAGGGAAGTCGGGTGCCGGCGCGGTGAGACGGATGTCGCTGTTTGATGCAGGGTTGGGGTTGTGGTGGTTGTGGTGGTGATGGGAGTGGGAGTGGGAGTGGGAGTGAAGGCGAGGGGCAGGAGGGACGGCGGGATGGATGGATGGATGGATGGTTGTTGTGGTGATGAGAGTGGATGATGGTGCTCGGCGGTAGCGACGCGGGCGGGAGCGACGTTTGCTGTCGGCAGCGGCATCCTTCCTTCGTGGGTGCCTGCCTGTTTGATGGAGAGAGGTGGTGCTTTCCCTCGTCCGCCCGTCGTCGGATGCACACAGACACAAACACGCCCACGCACCCACCTCGACCCATGCGCATACCCATCGCCATAGCCAGAGCCACTCCACTCGTGCGCACACACACACACACACACACACACACACACACACATGGTACAGTCCATACTTGTAGTGTACACACACACACTGACACGCACGCGCACGCACACAGCGCATCTGGTGGACCCCCCGCCGTCCACCCTGGGCGGGCTGGGCGTGCACAAGCGAGGCAGCAGCTGCAAGAGGGTGCAGAAGCTCTCTGATGGCTCTCTGACGGTGCTTTGGCGGCCGTGGGCGCTAATAGGCGGGCCTTGGTTCACCATGGCGCGCTGCCACTGCCACCACGACGCCCGCCGCCGTCCCATGTGCCTGCACTTGCCTGGTGCTTGCCTGGTGCTGCTCTAACGTTGGTGTCATCGACTGACTGACGGCCTGCCTGCCTGCCTATCTCCCCTCCTCTCACCACACCATCCTTCCCCCCCCCCTCCACCGCCCGCCCGCCCGCCCCACACCACACCACACCCCCCCACCCCCCCTCCCCGCCTACGCCTACGCCTACTCGCACTCCTACTGCGCTGGCTACTGCTGCTGCTGCTGCTGCTACTACTACTCCTCCCTCTCGTCCTTGCCCTCATCTCCCCACCCACCCCCGCCACCGACATTCTCTTCTCACCCACGCGCTCTCGCTCTCGCACCCACCCACCCACCCACGCGCACACCCACGCACGCGCGCGCATCGCACACCACCACGGCCATCGCCATCGCCGTCGCAATCCCTTCCTGGGCGTGCCTGAGCCAGCGCTGGGCCCGCCTCCCGCGCCCCGTCGCATCGCGCCCTGGAGCTGTTCCTTTTTGCGACTGATGTGGTTTCGCGCCTTTTCTGATTGCGCCCTGGCCCCTTGGTTCGCACGGCCCGTGTGAAAAGCGCCACTTTTGGCCGACTGAGCGACAAACGTCGTAGCATTGACGGCGCGCGACTCATTCATCCTCGCCTTTACCTGCTTCGGATAGTAGTCTCCGGCTCCATGGTAAGCTCGTCGTGCCCAAGACTAGGTCCTCTCGTCGCGCACGCAGCATAGGAAAGCTCCCATCCTGCATCCCACTCTGGCCTCCGAGCTCTTGCCCTGCCTGCCTGCCCGCCTGTCTGCCCGCCTGCCCGCCTGCTCGCCTGTCTGCTGCGACGCTTTCCAAACTCTTCCCCTCTTCCATGCCCATAACGCGGGTTGGGCTGTCATCTGCAAATCCCAACTGACCAACCGCTTGCTGCCGTCGCCGTGAATTGGTCCCCCTTCGGGCCCTGCGACTGCCGAGCCCGCTCTCCACCACCTGCACCCCCCCCCGCGACCTCTGCTGGCTTCTGCCGTTTGGCGGTCCTGGGACCATCCGCTGTGCCCAGTAGTGCTCTGTCATACCTAACATAGCCGCATGGCCATAGCGGATTCCCTCTGGCATATGTAAGGATGGCTGATCCTGACGCGCCCGCCCACTCTAAGAGAGCTCGTTTGGGCTCCAGCAATCTTGAGTACAACGGCGCCCACGCCTTCCCACCCCCTCCTCCACCGCCTCATACCCAACCCTCCCGGCCTCCGACACATCCCACCGTGGCCCAGGCTTCTCCGCCCTACACCACCCACGGCCTGCCCGCTCCCTCTCGCCAGTACACCGCTCACCCCCAACAACCCTACCCAGGGCCTCTGCCCTCTCCCTCACTGCCGCCCTCTGACATCCGCGCCCTGGCCGACCCACGCAACATTCCCTCTCCAAGGCAGCATCCCAATGGCGTCCCGGCTGTCTCTTCTGTGACGATCCCCCAGGACCGCATCTCGACGTACCGTCCCCCACCCACGCCCCAGTCCGCCTCCGCCCCGGACCATCACAGCTCGCGCTCCACCAGTCTGAGCATCAGCGTCGACGTCAAGTCGCAGCCGCCCGCCCAGCAACAGCCGCCCGCCCAGCAAGCTCCTCCCCAACCCCAACCTCCACCACAGGCCCCAATGGAGCATGGAGGCCACCACCCGTCATGGCCGCCCATGAACCCGGACCACCGTCCAAACGGCTCCATGGCAAATGGATATGCCCACGCCATGAGCCCTTCGCATCCGGCTCATCCTCCCCATCCCAACGGACCCCCATACCACGCGCAACCGCCACCGCCACCTCCTAGCCAGCAGTATCCTCAACCCGTGACACCCTATGCGCCTGCGCCCTACATGAACGACTATGGCGCCGCACAGCAGATCCGGAGAAAGCAGGTCCGCGCCACGCAGGCTTGCAATCACTGCCGCTCGCGAAAGCAAAAGTGTGACGAAGCCCGCCCCTGCCAGTTCTGCAGAGAAAACAACTTCGACTGCCAGTACAAGGATGTTCCGCCACCCAAGTGCGTCTGCCCCCCAAACCCATAGATTTGGTCCTCTCACCTGCTGACGCGCGCTCCAGACAAGATCGAAGCATGATGCAGCTTCAAGAGAGCGTCAACAACATCTCCGAAGTGCTGTCCCAATTCGTGGACCAGTTCAACACGTGGAAACAGGGTGTCGAGAGCAGGCTTCCGGCGACGCGAAACCTCGACATGATTTCCAACCACGCTTCGCCCGAGACGTCCTTTTCTGCGCCACAAAGGGACCAGGCAACATCGAGATGGGCCACGCCCAGTCAAGGCCGCGGCCAAATGGCTCGCGTACACAGCAATCTCAAGATGGAGTCGCCAGTCGTATCCCACTCGAGCATGATGTCGCCTCTGGGCACTTCGGCATCCGCGCCAATCAAGCAAGAATCGCAGTTTGCTCCTCCTCCGCAGCAGCCCGCAACACCTGCCGAAAGTGTCAGGACCGAACGGAGCCATGCCACCGAGACCGGCCCTAAGGAGCAGACGGGTCTTCAAGGAGACCACACAACCCCGGCACATAAGCTGCTTGAGGAATGGCCGCACATGAGCATCTTCTATCAAGGCATTCCCTATCTGAAACGCCTCATTGACAATGGTCGCGAAGTCTCAGATTACCCCATGCAGTTGGAGCAAGATCGCGGCTTACTGCGGGTTTGGGGGGTTGGTGAGGGCCAAGACCTAAACGACGGGGCACAGGGGCCCGGAAGTCCCGAGAGTAGCAACGACTCTGAAGCCACCTCGCCAGCGCCGGGCAAAGATGGCTTGTGGGGCCACCCACCATATGATCACCAAAGCCCCTCTGAGCCCAGCAGCACGCCGCGTGAAAGCTATCAGAGCGGCCTTGGCCCTGATGGCCGCCCGGATTTCCGCCGTCATGTCATGTTCGACTTGCTCAAGTCGTACATGGACAGCATGCACATGTTCCATCCCTTCATCAACGAAGTCAAGCTGAAGCGCATGTTCAGGGAGTTCAGCGACCAGTACAGCCCTGAATCCCGCGGCGCCAGTGTCCGCTCCCCCGCCGTCAATGGCGTCCACCAGCTGAACCCTGGCATCAAGCGAAAGCGCTCGGCCAGCGGACTGGACGGACTGCCGTCGGCTAGAGGCGAGATTGAACGTTCTTTGCGCAACGCTATTGTGCTCCTTGTCCTTGCCCTGGGCAAGGTTTGCTCCTACACAGATCCCCTGCCTGCACCGCAAAACGACCGCAATCCTTACATCCACTCCGACTATGGGTATATTAGGAATTCTCCCAATACCAATGGCAGCTTTGCCAGCGAGACTTCGGAAGACAGTCGTCCGCGAAACATTGACATTCTCCCGGGCATGGCTTATTATGCGTATGCGACTGACATTCTTGGAAACCAGCAAGGTGGAAACACGACGGCGCATGCGCAAGCCATGCTTCTCGCTGCCCTCTATCTCAGCCAGTTTGCCCGAGTGTTGGAGAGCTGGAGTTGGATCAACAATGCATGCCGAATCGCCTTGGTCTTGATCAAGGCTGACTACACCAAGCTTCTTCGTGTAAACAACGAGAAGAGGCAGTTTTGGAGTCCCAAGGAACGATACCGGCTGAACTTGGTCATGTGTGTCTACTGGACAGCGCTGCAACTGGAATCGTAAGATTCTCCCCCTCTTTCTTTCTTTCTTTCTTTCGGAGACTTGCCATGTCGACATTCGCTGACACACTTGTAGTGATATTCTCGCAGAGATGAGCACCCTCCCCCCCTCTGGCATCTCCGCACACCAAAGCGACATTATGTACCCCGAAGGCGTCAACGAAACGTGGCTCCAGGAAGACAGCAGCTCGGCCCAGCAAGAAGACGTTACGGCGGGTCCGAGAAACGACCTAATGATGAAACTTTACTCTACGCAAACGTTCCTGCGCGTTATTCTCAACGTGGCACACAATGCCCTTTACGGGCCTAGCGGACGAATGAGCTTTGATCCGACTAGCGTCAAAGAGGTGGCTTATCACGCGCTCACCCACGTGGGCGTGCTTGAGAATTGGAGAAAACTACTCTCACCGGAGCTGGCCTGGTCAGATGATGAGTACCCCTCGACTGACCTCAACATTGCTCGTGTTCGCGCCAAGTATTATGGCGGCCTGTACATGATGTTGCGGCCCTACTTGAAACTAGCGAGTCATGTGTTGGAGTTCCCACCCCCACCTCCAGGCAGCACGGGCGCCTCTCAGCACAATTCGTCCTCACCATACGGCCAGCCCCTCACAAACCGGAACGTGCAGATGGTGGAGCTGAGCGAAGACCAGCAGAAGATTATCAAGGTTGCCTGTCAATGTATTAACAGTGCCATTCACAGTACCATTGCATTCGACCGCGTGGGCGAAGAGCCTGGTAGCAACTACCAATACTTCACCCCTACCCGCAAGAAGAGGCTTGTCGTTACAAACATTTTTGGTACACTCCACGCGTACGTAGCCGGCCCATTTTCTTTTTTTTCTTTTTTTTCAATTACTGGCGAATGACTATGCTAACACCACTCAGGCAATTCGGCAACATGCTTGTGCTGGCCTCGGTGTACAAATCCAAGCTCTACCCTCTCCTACCCAGCGACACCTGGCTCACCAAAGCCACGCTCTCGGCCCTGTTCAAGCGCACGATTACCGTCATCGAGGACGTGGCGCCAAACTCGCCCATTCTGCGCATGGATCTGGAGATTCTTCGGAACGTGCAGCGGCAACAGGGTCTGGAGTGATGTCAGGCAAGCAGCAAAAAGCAAAACATGGTGGCGGGATGCAAACCTGCTCCTGGGTTCCATGTCTTGCCATATGGAGCGTCACCCGCATGCGCTGACGCACGCACGCACACCCTCTTCGGACCAAGCTGTCACGGGCAGAGTGGCCCAATACAGATCTGGGATTGTGCATCATGACTTGCATCTTCTGGCCCCGGCGCAATGCTTTCTGTTAATTATTTTTTGATTTTTTCTTTTTTTCTTTCTCTTCTTCTTCTCGATATTCCCCACAATCGACGGCCATATCAGCCATTGTACATGCAACCATGTGTACGAGCACGTAGTAAGGACATCAACTTCACCATCATCATCATCATCATCATTGTCATCATCATCATTGTCATTGGGTGGCTAGCGCTGAAATCACTCTTATGCATTTCGAGTCATTCTCCTTTCTCCGTCTGTCGGTCCGAGAATCAAAGTATTATTTCGTCTTGTTTCCAGGCCTGGGTGGATGATGCGTCTTTTTTACCGCACAAAGTTACCCTAAGATTTTATTTTATTTTTTGCTCCCTTGGATTCGTCTTGACACGGCGCCGTCTGCAAAGAGTAAGGTGGCCGAGTGCTGCTGTGGGAGAGAGAGAAAGAGAGAGAGAGAGAGAGAGCCTTTGGACTTGAGGGTACCGCAGTTGCAGTCGTCTCACCGATCAGACTAGACGGGGGTGGTGTGGACGGTTGCTGCAAGATGAGGGATCTAGATCTTCGCGAGGGCGATACAAAGGACGAGGCGCGCCGTCGCTAAGAGGCTAGCGGGGGTGCTGATTGGACGGATGGACATCCGGCAGGATGGGAAATCCTTACGACAGATCCAACTATGGCATTCTTTGTTTACCGATTTCCTTCTTCTTCTTCTTCGTCTTGGGCGAGTGGCAGGCTTTTTTTTGGGTTTGTTTTTGACGTCTGAGGACCCTCGCACACCGTTCATGCATGGTCGGGTATCAGTGGAGGCGGCAAACCATTCTACGCGCGCTGTCGTCCAGCCGTTGGCGCCCGCGTCGTGTCATGATTGCTTTTTCCCACATTGTCCGCCTTGTGACCGCAAGTACCCTTCCCCAGACCCATGTTTCGTGTGCTGACTAGGCGTCTTATCATGGGCGTGATATCCGCGTGGCGCCCCTCGGCACGTCCTCCTGAGGCAATGCGCTCCGAGGGCATGGCATGGCTGGGGCAGCACCTCGCACGCCACGTTCTTTTTTCTTCTACGCTGCCCAAGCAAGCGCCTCTGCCGTTCGGTATTGGTTGTTTGGCTGTTCTTGGGCAGTGGCAGGCCATGCGGAAAGAGTATGCCGATTAGCCGACTCGGCCGAAGAGAGTCGGTGTTGCTTCCGCGGCTATTACTCTACTGTACCAGACTCATGTAACGTGGACTGATGATATGGCATTAGACGCGCATTTCACCATTGAAAAAAAAATGCCTTTGATCGGTGAGTTGACGCAGGACTGCCCACCCTGCATACGAGAAACCCCTTGCCACCGCGCAACACTCTTCTTCTTCTTCTTTTTCATTTTTTCGCAGTCGCTGATTACTATCCCTTGACGGGCTGCGATGCGACCAGGTAAGAAGAATCATGGTAGGCCAGAGGACTCTTTCTCTCTCTCTCTCTCTCATTGCAACAGGCAACTGGCACTTGAGTTACCTTTTTTTTTCCTTTTTTTTTCTTCCCTTCCCCTCACACCTGACAAGCCCAAGCTGTTGGCTCTGAAGAAGAAGAAGAAGAAGAAGAAACTACCTTGGGCTCTTGGTGGGCGCGCATTACAGAGTGGGGAGGCAGAAAGTCATGGGTACGGAGGTAGCGCCTAGGGGTCTTCTCGCAACCCCATAGTCTGTCTCATGCGCAACATGCACAGGGGCATAGGGGACAGGACGGCAGCATTGCTCTGGTTGCACTCTCGCGTTTGCTGCCTTATTCTGAAAGCTTGCTTTGTGCAAGACGGCAGAGACTTTGCATGTATGTGTGGTGTGTGTATGTGTGTGTGGGTGTGTGGGTGTGTGGGAGCATGGAAGGGGTATAGGGCTTACCTATTTTGCGCCACCAATCACATGGCAACCATCTAGTTCCACACCTCTGGACCATCGGATCGCACCGGAGATTTCCCCACGGTATCGCCAAGTCGTCCAATGTGCGGCCTGCCACGCCCACCCCCGCCAGCCTCTCTTCGTAATCAGCTGTGACAGTAAGCTGGCAGGGCCACTTTTAGCGCGACACAGCCGCTCGTCGAGGAGGGGCCAAACGAACAAAAACATTATGACACACATTCCCCAAACGTGTTATGCGCGACAAGCGGTCAAGTCGCGTCAGTCCAGTCAGTCCAGCCAGTCCAGCCAGTCCAGCCAGTCCAGCCAGTCCAGTCCAGTCAGGGCCGTAAGCCGCCGCTCACCGTGTGCCCAGGTTGCTATGCCCAGTTGCAGTACCCCGCCAGCACGTCGTCTTGCTCGTTCAAGCCAAAGCCGAAAAAAACCTTATACGGCCACGACCCTGGCCAGCAACCCTCATGACATGCCCGCAAGCCCCGCACCCGCACCCGCACCCGCACCAGCACCAGCACCAGCACCAGCTCGCGACGGCAGCCCGCCCAAACCGCGCAAGCAAGTCGAAGCGAAAAACAAAATGGGCGACATATACAAGTGTCGCAGCACCGCACAGCACGTCAGGTGGGTGGGGGGCATCAATCAAAAGAGGCTGGTCGGCCAATGGTCTGACAGCCGCTCTGCGTTCCTGGGCGGATGGCGGCGGCGACGCCCGCTCAGCTTGTTCGGCTTCTCACCGGCACTATATGATTCGCAGCGGGGCCCGTCGCGGAGGGTTCCGGTGAGAGCGCATATTGCCCTCTCCCAGCACTGCTGGCCCTTTTCTTTGGTTTCTGCTGGACCCTGAGAAACAGGCCGCGTTTGATTGCTCTTGGAAATAACAGGCGTCGCTTTTGTGACGCTTGACGCTTGACACGCCTGCCGCTGCACAGGGCAGCCGAGCACAGCCAATAAGTCCGAATCTGGCTCCCACTCGCTCTGCCTCTCCCCCCTCCCTCAGCACACGCACACGCTCCCTCAGCGCCATTGGCCCGGAACAGATCGAGATGGGCTCTACCAAAAACTACATGCAGACAAGTACCACCAACAACGAACACCTCCAACCTGCCCGGAGCCAGCACGTCGTACGATTTTTTTTTTCTTTCTTCCCTCTGGTTAAGCGACCCAGCACGGTCCCGCTCGCGCCCTCCCGCCCCGCATGGGCTGTACTATTGGTGATTATACTACTTTCGACACCCCCCTCACGGCCAACGAAAAAAGAAGGTTATCAACTTGCTTATTCGGGAGTGTGGCTCGTACATAGCAGCCTTTCGGAGGGTTTTCCCTTGGGCCACCTCACCTCCGCTTCCTTCCCACCACCACCCTCATCAACAACCAGCCCTGTACATTTTCATCGCTAACAATCGTCATCACTTTGAATAGGCTGAATGCCACAGCACAGGTCCTGATAGGACACGGCAGGGCTAAGAGAACATGCAACCCTTGCTCCCTAGTTATCTCCGATACGGCTCCTTTGCTGCATCGTAGATCATGATTCATTTCGCATCATCACCATCAGGAGCGGCACCGCAATCTTCATGAGAAAATCAAATCGTCAGCACCACGATGGTAAATTATCACGGCTGCATCCTGTCTGACCCTACCGGACTTGAGTCGGGGGATTCTTCTTGTATCCGACCCAGGCCCGGCACTTGCGTTATCTCCCCGTCTCTCAGTCTGACTTTCTCTTTCCGGCTTACCAGATGCAGCACGCCATTTGCCCCCCAACTCCCGGTACACTGACTCGGGGCCATCTCGCGTAAGGAGACGGACATGGGCCTCGGCCGATCATTGCATAAGGGTCACTCTGACGCTGGCAATCACTGGGGCTGTGTCTGTAGTGTACATACGTGTGTCTTGCTCTTTTCTCTCCCATACTCATACCCTACTTCTGGCGGTATGACGCGGATTTGGATCAGGGGGGGGGGTGCGACCGATCCAAGCAAGATCGTCAGTCGCTGTTGCTGTTGACTGTTACAGTGACAGAGCAGAGTTGCTTGCTGGCTGGCCAAGCTGTCTTTGTTGGTCGACGTTGACAACGTTCTCCTTCCCCACCCTCCGTTCCCCCTAGCGTCCGGCCCTACCAAGCCTATTCACACATATCACTTCCTCATTTTCGCTACTCCTCTCCACAAAATCTCACTCTCGCTCTCGCTCTCTCTCTCTCTCTCTCCAACTCTGTCGCGTCTCGTATCTGTCGGGTTGATCTTTCTTATCACACACTATCATGCACAGACACACAAACAAGACCTTCTCACCCAACATGATGTGATACTGTCAATGTAAAAAGTGGTGGATCCAGTTAGAGTCGTCTCACTAAAATCCACTTTCTCACCCCCGGTCGCCTCCAACTCCTCCCCCTCCTCCTCCCCCGACCTCCAAATTTATGTGTCTCCAATTCCAGGAAAGAAGAAAAAAAAAAAAAAAAACTCGCTCCTCCAACAGA